ACACACACACACACACACACACAAACTTGACATGAGCCAACAGTGTGACGCGGCAGCTAAAAAAGCCAATGCAATTCTGGGCTGCATCAATAGGAGTATAGCATCTAGATCAAGGGAAGTAATAGTGCCACTGTATTCTGCTCTGGTCAGACCTCACCTGGAGTACTGTGTCCAGTTCTGGGCACCACAGTTCAAGAAGGACACTGACAAACTGGAACATGTCCAGAGGAGGGCAACCAAAATGGTCAAAGGCCTGGAAACGATGCCTTATGAGGAACGGCTAAGGGAGCTGGGCATGTTTAGCCTGGAGAAGAGGAGGTTAAGGGGTGATATGATAGCCATGTTCAAATATAGAAAAGGATGTCATATAGAGGAGGGAGAAAGGTTTTCTGCTGCTCCAGAGAAGCGGACACGGAGCAATGGATCCAAACTACAAGAAAGAAGATTCCACCTAAACATTAGGAAGAACTTCCTGACAGTAAGAGCTGTTTGACAGTGGAATTTGCTGCCAAGGAGTGTGGTGGAGTCTCCTTCTTTGGAGGTCTTTAAGCAGAGGCTTGACAACCATATGTCAGGAGTGCTCTGATGGTGTTTCCTGCTTGGCAGGGGGTTGGACTCGATGGCCCTTGTGGTCTCTTCCAACTCTATGATTCTATGATTCTACACACACACACACACACACACACACACACACACACACACACACCACCTTTCTGCCTGGTCCTGATCCAGATTAGTGGTCCAATCCGGTGCATTGACACAAGGTAACACACAAGTAATGCCTTGCCAGTAATAGTGTTTATTGCTACAAAATTAGAAGCTCCATATAACAAGACAATGAAACACAGAATTGTAGAGATGGAAAGGGACCCCGAGGGTCATCTAGTCCAACCCCCCCTTCAATGCAGGAATCTCAGCAAAAGCATCCATGACAGGCAGGCATCCAAAAAACCTTAGAAACCTACAAGGAAGGACAGTCTGCAATCTCCCGAAGATGGTTATCACTGACTGTGAGATAATCTAGAAAGAGAGAATATTCCTTCGCTGCCCTTCTCCGGCGGTGGCTGAAGTCAAGAAAGGGATCTAAGCATCTAAAAAGGCCCGTCTGGTCTAGCATCCTTTCCCCACTGTGGCCGCTCTGGTGCTCATTTTGGGAAGTTCTCCAGAGCGTGACAGCGACTCTCCTCGTTTGCGATTCTCAGAAACTGATGTTCAGAGGCAATCTGCCTCCGACACGGTGTGTGTGTGTGTGTGTGTGTGTGTGTGTGTGTGTGTGACGTAGCCTTAGTCAACATAGCCTTAACTACCAGGAGCAAGTTACAGAAATGCAGGCATGTGGATCCAGTGTGGGCGTGAAAAAGCTTAGGGTGCTACAGAGCTAAGGGTCCACTGGAAACAGTCAGTGTGGGGAGGTGGAGAGGGTGGGGACCGGCTGACTTCCGTTCCCAGGTCTTGCTGTTGTATTGCAATGCACGGTGTTTGTCACATTGCCGAGCGGGCCGAACACTCCAGGCCTTGGGGTCGGGGGCTCTTCCTTCCTACTTTCCCGTATCCACTTTTTCCACCAGGCTTTAGCGACCCGTGCACCCTGATAGACAGAAGATGCCAAGAATTAAGAGGGAAGGTAAGAGGCAGAATGGGTTCCCTCCGCCAGGTTCTCCCAGGAAACCCATAGTTGGAATCAGAATCCCAGACAGTGAATTTAATAATAATAATAATAAATAATAATAATACAGCCATACCTCGAGTTGCTAACGCTGCGGGTTGCGCATTTTCGGGTTACGGACCATGCTGAACCCGGAAGTACCGGAGCGGGTTACTTCTGGGTTTTGGCGCTTGCGCATGCGCAGAAACACAAAATGGTGTCATGCGCATGCGCGGACGTGGTGTGGCAGGTTGCGAACGTGCCTCCCGCATGGATCACGTTCACAACCCGAGGTATGACTGTAATAAATTTTTATGTATACCCCGCCCTCCCTGGCCAGGGCAGCTAACACTGAATATAAAGTACAATAAAACGTAATAGAAAAAAAGGAAAAAGAAACAGTTAACTAAAATACAGTTTAAAAGGCAGCCTCATTTTAGTAGTAGCCCATAAATCAAGACCATAAAGGGAGGAAACATCAGATATTCACCCGAGCCAACTATCCATGCTGGTCCTACTTGGGCCAGCAAAAAAGCCAAGGGAAAATTTATATACCAACTCAACTCGCCGTGTTTGGAGGAGGAGGAATGCTGCCTATGATCCCAAGAACACCATCCCCACCGTCAAACATGGAGGGGGACAAAAGACCACCTGAGATGTGTGCAAACCTGGTGGCCACCGACAAGAAACATCTGACCTCTGTAATGGCCAACAAGGGCTTTGCCACCAAGTACTAAGTCATCTTTTGCAAAGGGATCAAATACTTATTCCACTCATTATAATGCACATCAATCTCTGCCTTTAGTCTTCTGGGTTTCTGGGGGGTTTTCCTGTTGTTATTCTCTGTCTCTCACAGCTACAGTGGTGCCCCGCAAGACGAATGCCTCGCAAGACAGAAAACCCGCTAGACGAAAGGGTTTTCCATTTTGGAGGTGCTTCGCAAAACGAATTTCCTATGGGCTTGCTTCGCAAGACGAAAATGTTTTGCGAGTTCCTGCAGGGCTTTTTTCCCTCCCCCCCCCTTTTTCCCAAGCCGCTAAGCCGCTTAACAGCTGATCGCTAAGCCGCTTATCAGCTGATCGCTAAGCCGCTTATCAGCTGATCGCTAAGCCGCTTATCAGCTGATCCGCTAAGCCGCTTATCAGCTGATCCGCTAAGCCCGCTAAGCCGCTAATAGCGCTAAGCCACTAATGGGCTTGCTTCGCAAGACGAAAAAACCGCAAGATGAAGAGACTCGCGGAACGGATTCTTTTCGTCTTGCGAGGCACCACTGTATAATAAACCTACTACAGTGGTGCCCCGCAAGACGAAATTAATTCGTTCCGCAATTTTTGTCGTCTAGCGAATTTTTCGTCTGGCGAAGCACGAAATCCCATAGGAATGCATTGAAAATCAATTAATGCGTTCCTATGGTCAAAAAAAGTCCAAACAAAGCCAAATTTGGTACAACAACAGTTTATTAACTGCTCTTTAAAGTCACACATACTGTAAAGAGCAGTTCAAAAATTGAAGGGAAAATAAATTAACTTTATAAACAAAACATGTCTTTGTTTTTAGACAAAGAAAACAAAGTCGCGAGACGTTTTCGTCTTGCGAAGCAAGCCCATAGGGGAAATTCGTCTTGCGAGGCAAATCGAAAACGGAAAAACCTTTCGTCTAGCGAGTTTTTGTCTTGCGAGGCATTCGTCTTGCGAGGTACCACTGTATTAAAATTACGGGCTGGTCATTTCTTTGTCAGAGGGCAGACGGGCAAATTTAGCAAGGGATCAAATACTTTCCCCCCTCTCTGTACCATGCCCACAACCAAAATGCCACAAATAACAGAACCCTATTCCTGGACCACAATGGCACTTTGGAAACCAACCCACAGATTTTCATCATTGAAAGAGGTCCACCATCTGTTCTTTTTTCAGCCTTTTGCTGTGTTGAACAGCAAAGCCCGATCGGTAAAAATATTGCTACACGTCACGTCGAACTCTGAGTGGTCCAAGATGCTGCCATCTCCCTTGGAGAGATCGTAATAATAATAATAATAATAATAATAATAATAATAATAATTTATTATTTGTACCCCGCCCATCTGGCTGGGTTTCCCCAGCCACTCTGGGCGGCTTCCAACAAAGATTAAAAATACATCAAAATATCACACATTAAAAACTTCCCTAGCAGGGCTGCCTTCAGATGTCTTCTAAATGTCAGGTAGTTGTTCTTTGACATCTGGTGGGAGGGTGTTCCACAGGGCGGGTGCCACCACCGAGAAGGCCCTCTGCCTGGTTCCCTGTAACTTGGCTTCTCGCAGGGAGGGAACCGCCAGAAGGCCCTTGGCACTGGACTTCAGTGTCCAGGCAGAATGATGGGGGTGGAGGTAAGAAGGTAAGAGGCTGCTGGATCAGGCCGATGGCCCATCTAGTCCAGCATCCTGTTCTCAGAGTGGCCTGTGGGAAGCCAAAAACCAGGATCCGAACACAAGATCCCTCAACCCTCCAGCGGGCTCTGGCAACTGGGTTCAGAAGCGTTTTGCTTCCGATTGTGGAGGCAAAGTAGAGCCGTTATGAATGTAAAGAAACTGAAGGTACATTCTTTCACCTTTGGTGGACGTGCCCAAGGATTAAGGCTTTCTGGGAGATGATATATAATGAAATGAAAAAGGTATTTAAATATACCTTCCTGAAGAAACCAGAGGCCTTTCTCCTGGGCATGGTCGGCCAATTGGTGCCAAAGAAGGATAGAACTTTCTTTATGTATGCCACAACAGCAGCAAGAATACTTATCGCAAAGTATTGGAAGACACAAGATCTACCCACCCTGGAAGAATGGCAGATGAAGGTGATGGACTATATGGAACTGGCGGAAATGACCGGCAGAATCCGAGACCAGGGAGAAGAGTCGGTGGAAGAAGATTGGAAGAAATTTAAAGACTATTTACAGAAACACTGCAAAATTAATGAATGTTAGAATGATGTTGGATTGAAGTTAAGTGGTTTTTAGCAGTAATGTTATAAAGATGTGCAAAAATGGATTGTTAACAGGGGATAATCGAAAGTTATAATATATTAAGATCAAAGATTAGGATAAAAACAAAGAGGGAAAGGATTTGCTGAACCAACTAATTGAACTGGATACAAAAAAGGGAGGTGTGAGGAGGTCTGGGGAACAAGCGAATGAAAGATAAGTTGCGGAAAGATTGAATTGTTTTTAACTGTTTTTACTTTGTATTTTTTCTTTTTGTAACTTTTTGAAAACTTTAATAAAAATCTTAAAAAAAAAAAAAAGTAGAGCCGTTATGGCTAGCAACCACCGATAGCAGAGATCTTAACCCTGAAGTCTCTCCTTCAGATACATCGCCAAGACTTACCTGCTGGCGCTCAAGGTGGGCTTCTTCCTTCTCAGGTGCATCTTCCGAAGTTGGTCCTCCTTCTCTGGCCGGCACTTCAGCCTCAGAGATGGCAGCCACCACCCGGGTGACGCCGGACAATCAGGAAAAGCAACCACGGACCTCGCATCATTCCTGGGATGTGTGCTTCGGTGGCTGAGCGTCTTGTCTTCTGAGAACAAGGCAGGTCCTGATCGCTTTTTAAGGCACTGCTCTGGACTTCCCGCAGGAAATTCCTTCTTCGGGGAGACGAGCAGGAAACGGGCTTTGCATGCAACCTGCCGACATCTACATTTCCTGGAGTTTACCCAACCAGGTTGCCTCACCAGCTAACAGCAGCCACTTCCTGGCCAAGCCCATTTTGCAACCTGTGTGTTTTGCTCAAGCCTTTGTTCAGTTTAGTTGCGGTTACACCCAAACTTTCCCCCAAGAAACTACATGGCTTTCCCTCTGCCAACTTTTTCCTCCCTGCAAAGTAGGTTAAGGTAAAGGTAAAGGACCATTAGCTCCAGTCGTGGCCGACTCTGGGGTTGCGGCGCTCATCTTGCTTTATTGGCAGAGGGAGCCGGCGTAACAGCTTCCGGGTCATGTGGCCAGCATGACTTTAAGCCGCTTCTGGCGAACCAGAGCAGCGCACGGAAACGCCGTTTACCTTCCCGCCGGAGTGGTACCTATTGATCTACTTGCACTTTGATGTGCTTTCGAACTGCTAGGTTGGCAGGAACAGGGACCGAGCTACGGGAGCTCACCCCGTCGCAGGGATTCGAACTGCCGACCTTCTGATCAGCAGGTCCTAGGCTCTGTGGTTTAACCCACAGCGCCACCCGCGTCCCCTGCAAAGTAGGTTAGGCTGGGAAAAATATTTGGAGAGGTGCTGTCCCTATGACTCTGGCCAAACAACAAGTTCTTCTTTGGTGCTTGGCCTTATTCTGTCACTACTCCAGAAATATACTGGATGCTGCAATCGGTTTCTTGCCGCTTTGTTGCTCGGTAGAGATCCTGTTATAATATACAGTGGAACCTCGGCTCCCGAACGCCTTGGGAGCCGAACGTTCTGGCTCACGAACGAACGAAAACCAGAAGTAATTGTTCTGGTTTTCGAACGTGATTTGGAAGCCAAACGCCCAGCCCGGCTTCCAATTGGCTTCAGGAAGCTGCTGCAACCAATCAGAAGCCATGCCTTGGCTCCCGAACTGTTTTGGGAATCGAACAGACTCCCGGAATGGATTAGGTTTGGGAACAAAGGTTCCACTGTACAAGGTGGCCAAATTTTGTGCAGCAGCAATCAAAATACAACATGCAACGATTAGCTCCCAGAATTAGTAGTATATATATCGACCGATGGGAAACTTCTAGGTCAGAAGGGTTTCTGGACAGTTAAATGACCCCCTAGAACTGTGGGGGTTTTTATGTATATGCGATGTTATATCATTTTATCTTGTCCTGGGCTTTTAAATTTTGTAATCAGTGAGAGCTGGAGCATAAAGCAGGCTGATCGCCGAAGAATGGATACTTTTGAATCATGGTGCTGGAGGAGACTCTTGAGAGTCCCATGGACTGCAAGAAGATCAAACCTATCCATTCTGAAGCCCTGAATGCTCACTGGAAGGACAGATCCTGAAGATGAGACTCCAAGACTTTGGCCACCTCATGAGAAGAGAAGACTCCCTGGGAAAGACCCTGATGCTGGGAAAGATGGAGGGCACAAGGAGAAGGGGACGACAGAGGACGAGATGGTGGGACAGTGTTCTCGAAGCTACCAGCATGAGTTTGACCAAACTGCAGGAGGAAGTGGAAGACAGAAGTGCCTGGCATGCTCTGGTCCAGGGGGTCACGAAGAGGCAGACACGACTAAACGACTAAACAACAACAACAATCGGTGTTTTCGTCTTGATACTGGTCATTGACCTTACTTAATAAAACGACTTGACCTGAGAGGCAGATAGCATCTTGGCTCAACCACACCTTCACCTGCCAGACAGAATGTCTGCCTGATATCTTGTGGCTCAGTGGACTGACTGGCAGGCCTAATCCAGCTTCCCAAAGCTATTCTCCTCTCCAGAAAAATTCCATGCATGAAATGCTGTGTCAGATGGTGCATCTCCCAGTTGGGTTTTTAATTTAATCACCCAGGAACGTGAAAGAAAATACAAGGCGCTGTGGATTATCTTTAGAACATTTTATTTTTTTTAAAAAAACCTCTGCACGACTGGAGGCGAATCGATTAAAGAACAGGAAGATGGCCACAAGGAGTGGCACTGACTTTTCAAAGTTGGGAGCTGACAGGCAGATCTGAAAACATGGCAAAATGAAATATTAACATCCCAGGCTGCAATGCAAGAGAGGTTGTTATTTTAGCAACCCACAAAGTGGCCTGGCCACAAAACTGTTCCAGGAGACGCCCGCTTGCTTGCCCCGCGTCGGATGTGCTCAGAACTGGTTAGTCCGTGGCTTTGCAGACTTATGCTAAAGTGGGACTGCCACTCAGGTGATGTTTTGCAAGCAGATAGCAGCAAGAAGAACTTATCTATAGGGGTTAGAGATCTGGGGTACAGAAGGACTGGGCCTTTCCAACCACAACCACTTACAGAAACTGTGGGTCTTGGCCACGAGAGGCAGCCCAGTGCCTAAGGGTCTGGTTCCCCCTGAAAAAAAACCCGACACACTCCCCGATCACAGCCAATAATTCTCGCAAAGGCGGACTCCTGGGTTGGATTTTCAAAGCGATCTTGCTCTTTTGCCAAGCCTCAAATTCTCCACCCGACATCTCGTGCCACAAACTGCAAGGGTCTCCGCTTAGGCTGCGGCAAGCACAGGGCTGGAGGGAGGAGGGGGTCCTGTGTCAGCCAAGAGCACGAGGGTCTCGTCTTTCTTTCGCATAGCCGTCAACGTTTCCCTTTTTTTAAGGGAAATTCCCTTATTCCAAATAGGATTCCTCGCAAGAAAAGGGAAAAGTTGACAGCTATGTTCTTTCGCAAGGTCGAGGCATGGCATTACTGGTAGGGAACTGCCTTCGAGAGAAGATTATGGGCAAATGCGCCGGGGACTTCCTATGGAAACTTTGCAAAGAGCTTTCGGCTGCATTTCTGGGTGTCTCCTGCAGCGCCACACTTCACAGCTGCTGGGCTGGGGATTTTGAAGCATCCTTTAAAACACATGGAAAATCTGTGCTAGTTCTAACCACAGGCCCCATAGTTGCCAGAGGCGAGCTGCCAGAGGCAGAATCCAGGGTCCTTTCCCTGAGACCAACTCCCTTTGATATATGGATAAGCTACATTCAAGTCAGCCTCTTCCCCAACGTGACTTTCTGGGACACTTCAAGGAAGTCTGCCAAGCATACTGGAATTTGCCTGAAAGAGACCGAGGACTTTCTAAACACTCGTGTGCTTTTGTATTATGAAAATCCACGAGGGAGAATTTCCTCTTTCATTTAAAATGCAGCATTTCATATTATGATGTTTTTTGGGATGGGTGAGGTTTTCCCTGGGTCCTCTTCAGTTATGTCTGTTGTACTGCAGGTATCCACAGGGACACAGTTCTGTAAGCGATTGCGACCCACTTCTGCAGGCTCATACTTTTGGCCCTCTTCCTGGTTCTCCTTTGCATGAGAAAAGTCCTCTGCCCCACTCGTTTGCTTGCCAGCAACGCCCCCAAGCAAAAGCCTGCCTGGAGAAGACGTAAACACCAGGCATGCCCTTGCATTCTGCCGATTTGTGCCAAGCGTGTTTCGTCCCCTCGTTCCACAGCCCTGCATCCAGCACAGAGTCAGAGAAGCTTCGAACAAGGGCCACCCGGGGCAAAGGAGAGCCTGCCGGATGGGCCGCCTCAGTCCGAATCGCTTCCCTCCTGCTTTGCTGAGTCAACCGCTGACGCCAGATCTTCCTCCTGGCCTCTTAGCCTCTCTCCTGCGAGGGAAACAGAAACAGCACTCAGCAACTGTTGCCTGTCTGAAGCGAGCCCACAGTAAACCACACCATGTAGTAGTAGTAGTAATAATAATAATAATAATAATAATAATAATAATAATAATAATAATAATTTATTATTTGTACCCCGCCCCTCTGGCTGGGTTTCGCCAGCCACTCTGGGCGGCTTCCAACAAAGTTTAAAAATACATTAAAATGTCACACATTTAAAACTTCCCTGAACAGGGCTGCTTTCAGATGTCTTCTAAATGTCAGGTAGTTGTTCTTCTCTTTGACATCTGGTGGGAGGGCGTTCCACAGGGCGGGGGCCACTACCGAGAAGGCCCTCTGCCTGGTTCCCTGTAGCTTGGCTTCTCACAGGGAGGGAACCACCAGAAGGCCCATGGAGCTGGACCTCAGCGTCCGGGCGGAATGATGGGGGTGGAGACGCTCCTTCAGGTCTACTGGGCCTTTGAAGCCGTTTAGGGCTTTCAAGGTCAACACCAACACTTTTAATTGTGCTCGGAAACGTACTGGGAGCCAATGTAGGTCTTTCAGGACCGGTGACGTTAACTCTTTCTTAGAAATACAGGATCTGCACAGGAGTGCCAGGCCTAATGAGCACGGCAGCCTTTCTCAGGAGGTCTCGCCCCTATGAGGCAGCTGCGGAAACTAAAGGTCCCCGCCTTCCCACAGCTGCCTAGGTCTCCTCCTCTCCAGGGTTTCCCCCAAGCAATCTCAGACTATGCCGGTGTGCCTGCCTTTGCTCTTCCCACTTCATGCCTCTCCTGGTCCTGTGACACATGGGGAGCTTGTTGCAGCAGCAGCAGGAGGCGGCGGCATTCTGGCTTCTTTGCCAACCTAACCCATCTCTGCCTCTTGGCCTGCCAAGAACCCACATTCGGAATTCAAGCTGACCTAAGTTTCCCTAGGGAAGGGCTGCAACTCAAGAGGGAGACCATCTGTCTTGTAAGGAGGAGATCCCAGATTCAACCCCTGCTGGCATCACCAAGTAGGGCTGGAAGAAACTCTTGCCTGAAATCCTGGAGAGCAGCTGCCAGCCAGTGTAGACCAAACTGGGCTAGATGGACCAGCCGTCAGGCTCGGTATAAGGCGGCTTCCTATGGAATGGGGCGGGGACAGCAGGATACCAAGGGGAGGCACAGAGGGCTGAGCGAGAGCCAAAACTAAATGGCGAAGGGACCTGTGGGATGCTCAGCACTGCAATGGACGCCTCCAGCACTGCTTCACACATTTCCCAGCAGACGCTCACTCACTTATTAGCTCGGCTATCGCCCTCTGGGTTCGCTTCTCCAGCTTCTCCAGTTTCTTAGCCACGTCCCGCTTCAAGTCCCTGAGGAGTGAGGGAAATGGAAACAAAATGAGCCCAGGCCCAAGGAGGAGACAGGGAGGCCAAGGCCCTGAAGGGCACCTATCCGGCCTCAGGATTGCAAGTTCCTTTGGCAACGCGGAAGCAGTACCTGCGAGGAAATCAGAAGAGAACTAGGGCTCCTCCTGGGCTAGGCTGGGCGGCTGTGCAGAACGGAAAACCCCTTCAGTAGAAAGGATATGGAAATGGTCGGGCTGAATTGCCAGTCGCTTGAGAAAACATTTTGATTCACGGCACACTTGATTAACAAAAGTGCCCAGGGCAGAGAACTGCATTATAAAATCCGAGTGCAAAATAAATGAACACCCAGAGCTATTATGTATAGAAACATATGGAAGTCTAGCGTCCAGATCAAGGGAAGTAATAGTACCGCTCTGTTCTGCCTTGGTCAAACCACACCTGGAATACTGGGTACCACAATTTAAGAAGGATGTTTACAAGCTGGAAGGTGTGCAGAGGAGGGTGACCAAGATGATCAGGGGTCTGGAAACCAAGCCTTATGAGGAGGTGGATATGTTTAGGTAAAGGTAAAGGGACCCCTGACCGTTAGGTCCAGTTGTGGACGACTCTGGGGTTGCAGCGCACATCTCGCTTTATTGGCCAAGGGAGCCGGCGTACAGCTTCTGGGTCATGACTAAGCCGCTTCTGGCGAACCAGAGCAGCGCACGGAAATGCCGTTTACCTTCCCGCCGGAGTGGTACCTATTTATCTACTTGCACTTTGATGTGCTTTTGAACTGCTAGGTTGGCAAGAGCAGGGATGAGCAACGGGAGCTCACCCTGTTGCGGGGATTCAAACCGCCGACCTTCTGATCGGCAAGTCCTAGGCTCTGTGGTTTAACCCACAGAGCCACCCGTGGATATGCTTAGCCACCTTCAAATATCTGAGGGGCTGTCATGGAAGACGGAACAAGCTCTGGAGGCGACGCATGGATTCAAACATGACTGCAACTAAACATCAGGAAGAATTTCCTGACAATAAGAGCCATTCAACAGTGGAACAGACTCCCTCGGAAGGTGCTGGGCCTTCCTTCATTGGAGGTTTCCAAACAGAGGTTTGACAGCTATTCTTTAATTGTGCTTCCTGGGGGGCTGGACTAGATGACCCTTGGGGTCCCCTTCCAGCTCTACATTCTCATGCTTCTATTAAAATGGCACAAACCCCCAAAAGCACTGTGTGAAGAAGTACTTTCTCTATCTGGTCTGAATTTTCCAGTGGCACTTGGGGTAGGTTTCTAATCCAATCCCCCTTTGATTATGTTGTGGAGGAGGATATTATTGGTTTGTTTTTACTCTTATTTTTATTATGTATTTGGTGTTTTTAATATTGCATTTTTATGTTGTGAGAGGCCCTGAGATCTATAGATGAAGGGCAGTATGCTAATATTAATACAGTGGTACCTCGGGTTAAGAACTTAATTTGTTCTGGAGGTCCGTTCTTAACCTGAAACTGTTCTTAACCTGAAGTACCACTTTAGCTAATGGGGCCTCCCGCTGCCGCGCGATTTCTGTTCTCACCCTGAAGCAAAGTTCTTAACCCGAGGTACTATTTCTGGGTTAGCAGAGTCTGTAACCTGAAGCGCCTGTAACCCGAGGTACCACTGTACTACTAATAATATAAAATCTAAGCAACCATGCAGGCATTTTATCCCCAAATAATTTGTGCGGTCGCCCCGCAAACCCCATTCAGAGCTTCATACTCACCAGTCAGGTTTCCTGGGCGCAAGATTTGCCAAGTCCTGGGAAAGTGGAGAGGGGAGGAACACAAAAGAATCCCTCGTTAAAAGCCACTACTAATCAGCTTTGTAACAAAACAGGCGGGGGTTTTTAAAAACAGTTTCGTTTGAAGCGGGAAGCACCAAAGGTTCCAGACTTACCACTTCTTCAATGATGGGCTCGGGCTTCGCAGCCTCCAGCTGCTCTTTCACCTTGTCTTCCACTAGGGGGCAGAAGGAGACAGAAGGATGTTGCAGCGATTTTAGCACAGGTGGGAAGGAGGGTGCAGAGACAGGGAAGGTCCACTGAAGGTCACAGAGGGAGAGAAGCTCTCTGGGAGTCCCTGGTGGAAGCATGCAATGAACATCATGCATGCTGGAGAGCACAAGGACAAGGCCACAAGCCTTGGCCAACCCGGTGCCCTCTCCAGATGTTTTGGACATCAGCAGGGCCAATGGGTGGCGGTGTGGGTTAAACCACAGAGCCTAGGACTTGCCGAGCAGAAGGTTGGCGGTTTGAATCCCCGCGACGGGGGTGAGCTCCCGTTGCTCGGTCCCAGCTCCTGCCAACCTAGCAGTTCAAAAGCACATCAAAGTGCAAGTAGATAAATAGATACCACTCCAGCGGGAAGGTAAATGGCGTTTCCGTGCGCTGCTCTGGTTCGCCAGAAGCGACTTAGTCATGCTGGCCACATGACCCGGAAGCTGTACGCCGGCTCCCTCGGCCAATAAAGCAAGATGAGCGCCGCAACCCCAGAGTCGGCCACGACTGGACCTAATGGTCAGGGGTCCCTTTACCTTTACGGCCAATGGGAGTTGCAGCCCGAAACACCTGGAGAGGGCACCAGGTTGGCCAACGCTGGCCTAGTCATTAAGAACCTCAACTGGAATCCCTCCCCGATCAGATGAACCGAGGGCACAAACTTAAGCTGCCACGGCAAGACTCAAGTAGCTCAGTCGGCAGAGAGTAAGCCTCTTAATCTCAGGGTCGCAGGTTAGAACCCCACAATGGTGGGTCAGACTAGATGACCCTTGTGGACCCTTCCAACTCTAAGTCTCTAAGACGCTAAGATTTCTGCCAGAGGACCCTAGTTCTCCAGCGGTACTACAATTCCCAAAACGCCTTGGGGAAAAGACACAAAAAGCCAGGTAAGACACAGGTGCACCCTTAATTCCCGTGTTCAGAAAAAGGAAGGACAAATCCTCAAATAGTCTGGCAGGGCCCTCAGTGAAGTGCTTTGATCACTCCTGCAAGCTTATCTGTTCTGGTTCATACAGTCTTCTTCCTCCCCAAGGTTCAGGTTAGAAGCAACTCTGCAGAGACGCAGCCCTTGTTTTGGAGAGGGTCAGCCAAATTCCTGAATAAGAAGTCTAATCAATGGCAAAGAATGTAAACAGAGCCTTCTGGATGTGTGCCAATGGCAAGTGATATTCAGAAGCATCAGTGCCTCTCTCCTCCTCCATGAATTTGCTCTTTTAAAGCCATCTAGGTTGGTGGTCATCACTGCCTCGGGTGCCGCTGTGGGTTAAACCACAGAGCCTAGGACTTGCCGATCAGAAGGTCAGTGGTTTGAATCCCCGCGATGGGGTGAGCTCCCAACCTAGCAGTTTCGAAAGCACACCAAAGTGCAAGTAGATAAATAGGTACCGCTCTGGCAGGAAGGTAAGCAGCGTTTCCGTGCGCTGTTCTGGTTCGCCAGAAGTGGCTTAGTCATGCTGGCCAGATGACCCGGAAGCTGTACGTCGGCTCCCTCGGCCAGTAAAGCGAGATGAGTGCCAGAACCCCAGAGTCGGCCACGACTGGACCCAATGGTCAGGGGTCCCTTTACCTTTACTTAGGTTGGTGGTCATCATTGCCTCCTGCAAGAGCAAATTTCATAGCATAGCTAAACTCTTGGATCTGTCCTGAGAACCACATAGGAGTTTCTTTGCTATCTGCCATGTGAAACCAAACAGGAGTGTCTTTTGCTGCCTGCAAACAACTGCTATTTGAGAGGCAAGGAGCAATTCTTCCCATGTGTGTTCTCTTTTATTTTTACTTATTGTGTTTATATCCCACCTTTTTCCTCCAAGGAGCTCAACGCGGTGTGCAGGGCTTGCCCCCTCCTCATCTTATCCTCGCAACGACCCTGCGAGGTCGGCTACGAGACTGGGGCTGGCCCAAGGTCAGTAGGTGTCAGGGAACTGCCATCGGAGCCAGAGGGAGAGGGAGGGCTCTAGAGGGATTCCGGAGAGCGTCCCGGGAGGGAGAGAAGCAGCACATCTTCTGGGGAAGGAAATCAGCGTAGCACCAGTGGAGAAGGGGGGCAGATGGGGGAATCGGCGAGGTGGCTCCAAGACTCCTCGCCGGGGACCAGTGGGGAGAGCACGGGCCTCCGATGCCCACACCCTCCCTGCACAGAAGGCTTCCGCGCAGAGAAAGTAGGTGGAGACGAGGCGTCAAAGAGCTTCTTTGCTGGAAGAAGTTCAAGAAACGCCCACTAACGGATTCTGCCAGCGATTGAGACAGCCACGGGCGTGTGGCTGTCCAGACAGAAAGGGTTCATTCAGGCAACCAGCCAAGGGTGGCGTTGATTTACACACAAGCAACCCCTAGAACCATTACAGTATGGATTTGAACTCTGGTCTTCCAGGTCCTAGCCCAACACTCGACAACTGCTACACTGCACTGACTCTCAGGAGAACGAGTGCGTCTGCCCCTCTTTTTGAGCTTCGCAGAAGACACCTGTTGGTCACTGCTGCAAGCAAGATGCTGTGGTCCATTTCAGAAGAGGTTCTGGATGCCCACTCACCTGAGGCGGGCTTCGCTTTGGGCACCACCCGCCCCTTGAGCTCTTCGTCTTCCGGAGTGTAATTCCGCAACTTGAGCTCCCTGGAAAGGGGAAAGAAGAAAAGAGGGAAGCTTCAGTCTGATGTCACACACAGCTACCCATCAGCCTCCGACAAAGACCACTCGCTTGGTGTCCAGCAAAGAGCGGTTCGTTCTGCCTGGCAGGGGTAGTTTTGAGGGTGAGAGAATGGCAATAGGCTCCTAGGAAGGAGAGGCTGTGCCTGGTGCTTGACCCAAGGAACAGCAGGCCGAAAGAATGGATTGTTCGGGGCCCAAGCAGGTACCGTATTTTTCGCTCTATAGGACGCACCGGACCATAGGAGGGGGAGAACAGGAAAAAAAATTCTCCCCCTCTCTGTGCAGCGCCCCTTCAGCGAAGCGGCAGGAGAAACGGAGCCCCTTCCATTTCTCCTCCCGCTTCGCTGAAGGGGCGCTGCGCAGAGAGGGAAAACTGTGCAGCGCCTCTCCAGCGAAGCCTGGAGAGCAAGAGGGATCAGTGTGCGCCGTCCCTTCTCGCTCTCCGGGCTTCAGGCGGCTATCCACAAGCCTTCGGAGCGCAGCGGGAACTCCATAAGCGCAGCATTCGGAGCGCAGCATTCGCTCCATAAGACGCACACACATTTCCCCTTAATTTTTGAAGGGGGAAAAGTGTGTCTTATAGAGCGAAAAATACGGTATTTGCATGGGGTGTCCTGGACTGGCTGGCTGTAGAGGAGTGGAAGAAGGCATCAGCTGGGGAATTCCCAAGGGAAGAAAGCTCAGAAGCAGAGGGTTGGTGGTGGGGTGAAGATGGGCAGAGGGAGCGTGATGGTGTGTAGCAACAACAGGGAATAAGTCTGACAGACAAGGACAGGAAGAAATATCGTGGACAGAATAAATGTCACACAGAGAAAACAATGATACAGTATGAGATCTTCACTTGCAGTCTTATTAATTACTTAGTGAGGGAGCAGACTGGGAAGAGGAGGTGTCAGAAGCTGAAGGGGCAGCAGGGTTAAGTGGGCAGAGGGAAGCTGGGGCAAAGTGTTAGAATTCCTGCTCCGTGGTTGCAGTCGTGGGATTGTTGTCTATCACATGATGGTGTATGTTTTGACTCCACGGAGTGGGAAGTGACGGAGACAGGATGTTTGTGTTACTGTGTTCTGTGAAGTGGGACTGTTGTCCTTTGTTCTTTCTCTCTTTGCTGTCTGATGCTAGAGAGAGAGGGAGCCATGTTGCAGTGCTCCGTGTGTGTTTGTATGTAAATAAAGTAGATTAGCCAAAATGCTGAGTTGCTGAGTTCTTTTACGCAAACTGCGAAGACTCTGCGGGTCCCTAAGTGTGCCGATGTCTGTTGGCACCGGTTGCTGTGATGTTCGGGCTGAAGAAAGCTGAGAGCCAGTGTGGTGTAGTGGTTCAGAGCGGTGGACTTGTAATCTGGTGAACCGGGTTCGCGTCTCCGCTCCTCCACATGCAGCTGCTGAGTGACCTTGGGCTAGTCACGCTTTTCTGAAGTCTCTCAGCCCCACTCACCTCACAGAGTGTTTGTTGTGGGGGAGGAAGAGAAAGGAGAATGTTAGCCGCTTTGAGACTCCTTCGGGTAGTGATAAAGCAGGATATCAAATCCAAACTCTTCTTCTTCTTTGAAGCTCCCAAATGAACGACCAGGCGGGAGAGAACATGCCAGTCGGGCATGTGTCTCTACCAGGGTCCTACTCGAGTGTAGGATGAGCTCCTGACACAAAGAACAGTCCTGATGCAGAGGTTGGAGAGGAGTGGGACCAGGAGACAGAGATGAGACTGGATGCAGCAACCCTGGATTTGGAGAGCTGGGAGAGATCCTGCCACTGAGCTTAGCTCTGTCTGTAGCAGGAGCTCAGAGCCTTACGGACAGGCAGTTTTCTGCCTCTGAGTTGGGAGGAGGTGGTGGCATAGAGAAGCAGAGAGCCCTGAAACCTGGGAGATTTTGTGCCGATGGACACAGAAACCAGCAAGAGGGGGACTCAAAAGCCAGACTGCGTTGCTGCGGCACAGACCCACATCCAACTATCAAACCCCTTCAGAAACAGGACGGACAGCAGGAGGAGTGGGCTGCATGTGCGTTTGGCAGGCGTGTGGGGCAAAAATAAAAAATTGGCTGGGGACTTGGGAGAGCATCTTTCTCTTCGTTGCTCTCCTTAGTGCAGCTGCTTAATCTTGCAGGGGACAAGCAAGGTGAGGAATGAAATGTTGCTAGGCAGCATCAGCACTTATTTGCTCAGGCTCTTTTCTCCCGCCTCTTTCAATGCATGTTCCTTAGAAGCGAGTCCCACAGAGTTCAACAGGATTTACCTCCTGTGGCCAAAACCTTCTCTCCAAGCAGGAACGATAACCGGTGGGTAATTTTCAGGGTATGTGCAGTGAGCCAAACCTCTGGGTCTTTTGGGGCTGGCGGTTTTTTATTTATTTATGGATTTATAAACTGCTTTCCAACAAACGTTGTCAAAGCAGTATACTGTGCACACACAAACACACACACACAGAGAGAGAGAGAGAGAAAATATGTACAGTGGTACCTCGGGTTAAGTACTTAATTCGTTCCGGAGGTTCGTACTTAACCTGAAACTGTTCTTAACCTGAAGCACCACTTTAGCTAATGGGGCCTCCTGCTGCTGCCGCACCACCGGAGCTCGATTTCTGTTCTCATCCTGAAACAAAGTTCTTAACTTGAAGCACTATTTCTGGGTTAACAGAGTCTGTAACCTGAAGCATATGTAACCTGAGGTGTATGTAACCCGAGGTACCACTGTAATGGAAACTGGTATATGCTTAGCAATTTAAGGCACACTGATGGAAGAGAGTTCTACCAGTGACGGTTAGCTAAGAAAATTAAACAGAGCCTCCGTCTTCAGAGGCAGTCTATATCTGAAAACCAGATTCTTAGCAGGAAGTAACTGAGGAGGGCTGAGAGGAGGGAGGGAGGGAGGGAGGGAGGGAGGGAGGGAGGAGGAAAGAAAGAAAGAAAGAAAGAAAGAAAGAAAGAAAGAAAGAGAGAGAAAAGGAGATGCTCACAGTTTATTTAAAGGGAGGAAATAGAAGGGGGAGAGACACAGAGAGCAGAATTAATAGACCTGAACACCCCAGAGAAATATGCAACAATGATTTTTAACCCTCCTATGCAATTGGGGTTTATAACTAATCCCGGAGGCATATTGAAATATGCAAAGCATTCCACCTAGCCTGCGCAACTCATTTCCCCCACCAAAGCAGTTGGTGGTTCCGTGTTTCTTTTAAAATTCTTAAGAGGGGAGAGGAAGACATTGGGGTCCGTTAACATTCCAACTGAAGCAAACAACCAGTTTTATTTTGCATATCAAAGATAGCGGAGGAGAGTTTTAAATCATGGAGATTTATGTTCTTCTTTTTTTTAAAAAAAAATGGCTATTCCGCCGGGGCGTGGTCATGTGTGTGCTATGCTCCAGGTGTGAGGTTTCTATCCACACTACCGCACCACCGTGGATCCTATGCTCCTTGTGAGTAACCTACGTGCGGCATCTCAGCAAAGGATCGTCTCTGGGTCTAAATGCAGAGTTAAAAACGGGTTGCGCCGCTGGGCCTTCCGTTCAATTCCACAGCATCAGAGCAATGCCAGGAGCCAGAAACCAGCCGCACGACACCCCATGCCCCCCAGGGAACCGCTGGAGGCTTGTTACATTTCTCTAGCCTGTCCAAACGGACAGGTCCGAATCCCTTTAATTAAACACTAAATGCGAGGCTCTCGCAGGCCTGCCACACGCAATTAGCAGCGCTGCCTCTTCCCGGCAAGAGACCTCCCAGGAGAGTCCTATGGGTTGTGCAGCCCGCAGTGTGGGGAGGAGGAGGGTGTTCCAGGAGAGAAGCTCCCAATTCTGCGCTCAGGATCCATCCCTTGCCCCCGTCTCTGAAGACAGGGGATGGGAGTTGGTACCTGTTCTCCAGGGCTTGGCATCTTATTCCATTTCATGTGGACCTCTGTAAACCCCACTTGCATTCACAACATCACAGGGAGGTATACAGGCAAACATCCCCTCTGGGAAGCTACGGAAATCTCCATCCCCAGATGTTGTTGTTGTTTTAGAGAGAGAGAAGGGTGGAAAATGAAAAGAGATGAGTCAGTCGCCTTGTCAGGATGTTTTCATCCACAGGTCAGCTCAGACAACCCGAGTGTTTCTTCTCAGCTCAACATTTCAATAACCCTGTCTTGTGTTGTGGAACAGAGAAGGCACCGGCCGGCCTCTCCTGAGCTGCCTGCTCTACAGTCCGCTCCAACCGTTAGCCTTAATCAGCAGAAACGGAAAATGCAATATCAAAGTCATTCATTATTCACCACCCTTGGGATCGCGTAACAAGCCGCCTCGCGGCTCGCTTACCTCGTACGCTGCTTTAACAGGAAAAGCAAGTTTCCCTGTTATAAACAAGCCGGTTTTTCCTTTCCGAGGGGGCTGTGTGTGTGTGTGTGTGTGTGTGTATGGAGAACACGCAGTCCAAAGCTCAGCTCCTGATCTGCAAGCAGGTAGCAAACACTGACCTCTACGCTAGACGACAGAGCCATGATACGGCTCAAATCCCAAACAGAGAGAGAGAGAGAGAGAGGGGGGATAAGCAGCAACTTACTTATGCTTTCCCATATCTTTCTCTTCACCGTCGCCTCGGAAATGCTTGAGCTCCGGTGCGCCATCATCTTTATTCTGTGGAGAGAAAGAAGAGGGGGGGAATTAGGGGGAAGGAGAGCACCCATCAGTGCGTTTCCCCAGTGCGAGATTTCAATGCAAAAAAAAAAACCCCAGGCCCGGTGCCTGAACTGCATGTAAATGATCTAGCAGGCCCAGGGTTCTTCGGTGTCTGGGCTTAATTTCATTTCGCCCCAGGCTGAATTCCCCGCTGTGACTTGCGCGCACAAGAGAAATGGAAGGTGCGCAGACACACACGAGGCCAGAGAGGAGGGAAATGAATTAGATGTTTGGCGGGTGCTGGGAGGTGCAGAGCAAGTTGTGCGTTTGGGGACTGCTGTGGCCCAAGCTGGATGAGCAAAGCAAGTAGAGAGCTGGCGCTGAGGGAGGGAGAGTTTGAGAGGCGGGTGGTAGAGAGAACGCACACACACACTAGAGTCAAATGAAAGCTGACACTGTTTCCTGGAACGTGACAAATGCCAGGATAAACAGTGGCTCCTTCTGTACTCTGGTGCAGCTGCACCAAACACATAAGAGCGAAGGGCAAGGGAATGCATGGCTAGATTGCATGCAGAGCTTTGCTGGGTTTGCGCCTTGCTTAGTGTCAGTACAGCTGCATGGGAATGTAGAATGAGATGGGGTTTTTAACAACAACAACAAGCCTTCCGCACAGCTACAAAACAGGCACCCCCAAACTCGGCCCTCCAGATTTTTTTGGGACTACAATTCCCATCATCCCTGACTGCTGGTCCTCTTAGATAGGGATGATGGGAGTTGTAGTCCCAAAACGGATGGAGAGCCAAGTTTGGGGGTGCCTGCAGTAAAATACGAAAACATGTAGGAGCTCACAAAGAATAAGCAAACTGGAACAACTGGGTGCTCAATCCAACCATGTTTAAAGATTGACATTGACTGAGTAGCTTAAGCGTCAGGTCTTGTGGGTGGGGAGGGTAAAAAGAACCAAATAGAGTATTGTAGCACCTCGAAGATGTTTTTACGGCAAAACTGCCACAGGCTACAGTCCACTGGGCAGCTTCCAACAAAGATTAAAAATACATTAAAATGTCACACATTAAAAGCTTCTATGAACAGGGCTGCCTTCAGATGTCTTCTAAATATCAGGTAGTTTTCTCTCTCTTTGACATCTGGTGGGAGGGCATTCCACAGGGTGGGCGCCACCACCGAGAAGGCCCCCTGCCTGGTTCCCTGTAGCTTTGCTTCTTGCAATGGAGGGAACCACCAGAAGGCCCTTGGAGCTGGACCTCGGCGTCTGGGCGGAACGATGGGGGTGGAGGCGCTCCTTCAGGTATACTGGACCGAGGCCGTTTAGGGCTTGAAAGGTCAGCAACAACACTTTGAATTGTGCTCGGAAACCTAAGAAGGCCTGCTGTGATGCCCTTCAAATCCAGGAGGCGGATTTCAGGTAGCCAGAAGGAAGACCCCGCACAGGGCACCAACCTGGCGAGGCGATGGAAGGCACAGAATTTAGAATTATCCTGGCACAGCCTTTTATCCCCGGGCAGAAAAATGCCATCTCGCTAGAGCACAGAGCAAAACACATCATCCCACGTGTCAGTTTTGTGAGCCGTGCTTGGAACTTTGGGCATTCATCGGCGCAGCAGATCTGGCTCTCGTTTCAGAGATGTTTCTGCCCAACGTCTGGTGTTTTTCCTCCCCCGATCCTTCCTTGCCCTTTCCAACGGCGCTGTTGGGATTCGCCAGCCATCTGGGACCTTTTAATCAGGACTTTGAATCAGTGAGCCTGTTGCGTTCTGTGAGCAAGAGACAGATGGCGGGAGGGTCCCGTTTGGCTGCAGTTACACCAAGCAGGTGGCAGATGGCGACACAAGAGCCAATCAGGAGCTTTGGGGGAGGAGCCGCACACGCTCTCTCCAAATCGCCGGCTCCTTCGCTCTGCGATTGAGTCAGGCATCCGACAGATTGGACCCTAAAACCCAGGAGATAGCAAATAGCACAACCTGTTTTCTAAAGATCACACACACAAACACACATGAACAGATAACAGGGAAGGCAGACAAGGAGCACACCGTGCTTAATTCAGGGGATAAACTTTGCAGCCCTTGGTACCGTATTTTCCACTCTATAAGACGCACTTTCCCCCTCCTAAAAAGATAAACTTTGCAGCCCTGGGTAATTGAGGAACGCTGCCTCAACTGCTCACAAAATTAAACCAAAGAATACATAGAGAGAGTCTGCAGGATCAGGCCAATGGCCCACCTAGTCCAGCATCCTGATCTCGCAGTAGCCAAGTGTGGGAAACCCACAAGCAGGATTCGAACACAAGTGCCCACTCTCCCCCCCATCACTGCCTCCTGTGGGGAGGAGTTCCATAGGTTGTTGTTGTTTAGTCGTTTAGTCGTGTCCGACTCTTTGTGACCCCCTGGACCAGAGCACGCCAGGCACTCCTGTCTTCCACTACCTCCCGCAGTTTGGTCAAACTCATGCTGGTGGCTTCGAGAACACTGTCCCACCATCTCGTCCTCTATCGTCCCCTTCTCCTTGTGCCCTCCATCTTTCCCAACATCAGGGAGTCTTCTCTCCTCATGAGGTGGCCCAAGTGTCCTTCCAGTGAGCACTCAGGGCAGATTTCCTTCAGAATGGAGAGGTTTGATCTTCTTGCAGTCCATGGGACTCTCAAGAGTCTCCTCCAGCACCATATTCAAAAGCATCCATTCTTCGGCGATCAGCCTTCTTTATGGTCCAGCTCTCACTTCCATACATCACTACTGGGAAAACCATAGCTTTAACTATACGGACCTTTGTTGGCAAGGTGATGTCTCTGCTTTTTAAGATGCTGTCTAGGTTTCCATAGGTTAACCATATGCTTAAGTGAAGAAGTGGTGCTTTCTTTTATCAGTCCTGAAAGTTCCAATATTTAGCTTCTTTGCGTGTTCTAGTGTTGTGAGAGAGGGAGAAAAACGTTCCTCTGCCCATGTTCTCCATGCAAGGCATGGTTTTATAAACTTCTAACACGTCAATTCTTCCTCATCTCTTCTCAGAATGGGGGGGGGGGAGGGGAAATCCCAAACATTGCCACCTTTCTTCCTAGAGGAGTCGCCCCCTCCCCTAAATCATCCTCCAGAGCTTTATCTACAGGACTGCCTCTCCTGGTCTGCCCCGCAAAGGACCTTAAGGTCCATGAATAACCATAGTTTAAAGGTCCCGGGCCCTAAGGAAGTCAGACTATCCTCTACCAGGGCCAGGGCCTTCTCAGTGATGGCTCCCACCTGGTGGAATGCTCTGTCCCACGAGAATAGGGCCCTTCAGGATTTAACCTCCTTTTGCCGAGCCTGTAAGACAGAGCTATTCCACCTGGCCTTTCATCTGAATTCAGCCTGATCTTTTATTTCCCTTCTCTTCCCTCCCCCTCCCCTTTTATGAAGATCACCCGCTCTGAGACCCCACAGCTAATTCTCCCCTGGCCTCCTCACTGGCCCAAGTAGGGCCAATTCAGCCCGCTAGCCCTGGGGATTATCTAATTGATTTTTGGATTTTATTGTTATTCAAGTTTTTATACTGTATTTTATGCTGCTTTTACAATTAAGTGTTTTAAATTTGTTGTTAGCTGCCCTGAGCCCGGTTTTTGTTTTTTGTTTTTTATAATATTTTATTAAGTTTTCTTTCCAACAGTTAGAAATTTACAGAATAAAGAATAAAGAATGAAGATAAAAAGAGAAAGAGATACATAGAAACCAACTTTCCAAAATATTTTTGCCATTCCAACTGGACTTCCCCACATCTTCCGAACCCTGCGTTCTTTGCAATTAAAACATCAGCAATTTGTTACCTTATTTCATATCTTACTGTATCTTTCAAATACTATGTTTCTAAGTTCAAAATACTGTATCTCCTTTATTTGTACCTTAAAAATAAACATAGTATAGTTATTTCATATTGTCCACCTCGTCTTTCTTATAACTTAATTTCCAATTCACCTATTCAAGTTGCTGAAGCAAAAGTTTCCTAATCGTAGCCGGTTTTTGAACCAGGAAGGGTGGGGTATAAATAAAAAAGGTAAAGGCACCCCTGCCCGTACGGGCCAGTCTTGACAGACTCTAGGGTTGTGCGCTCATCTCACTCAAGAGGCCGGGGGCCAGCGCTGTCCAGAGACACTTCCGGGTCACGTGGCCAGCGTGACAAAGCTGCATCTGGTGAGCCAGCGCAGCACACGGAACGCCGTTTACCTTCCCGCCAGTAAGAGGTCCCTATCTATCTACTTGCACCCGGGGCTGCTTTCGAACTGCTAGGTTGGCAGGCGCTGGGACCGAGCAACGGGAGCGCACCCCGCCGCGGGGATTCGAACCGCCGACCTTTCGATCGGCAAGCCCTAGGCGCTGAGGCTTTTACCCACAGCGCCACCCGCGTCCCTGGGGTATAAATAAATTATTGCTATTATTATTATTATTATTATTATTATTATTATTATTATTAATGGATCCCATCAGTTCTAAGATCCTGCAATGGCTATCATTGCCAATGGGCTATCGGAGATGACTGTCACTTCATGAAGATTTACAGCTTAAGCAATAAGGATGGGCGTTCCACCTGCACAGCTGGTTTAACACACTCTCCAAATCGGAGCCTTGGCATGAAGAAGACAGGAGTTATGCAGCAAGAAGTCAAGGGAGGCTCTGGCTGGCGTAGTCTAGGCTGCAACCAGCCTCTCTTTTCAGGGGCCACCCCATGCCCTGACCCATCTGCCTCCACTGGAATCCCCTGCAATGTACAAGGGACTCTCAGGCGACAGGGGGCGGGGGATTTCAGGCACCCAAAAATCTGCAATTATGGATCTGAGATCTTTCCTACCCCGTATCTGCATAGAAGAGGCTTGCCAATTGGTCGGGAGTGTCTGAAAACCGGTCTGGGATTTGCATTTTGCCCCTGCCCCAGCCCCGGGTGCGAGAGCATGGAGGACTGGAAGATCCTTCAGAAATTCCCGTCTACAAGGGGAAAATGTGCTTATCTCCTTAGCTGCTTTCAAAGAGCCAGCCAGCCCG